AACTTGTCATCTATTTTACGGTGAGCTAGAATCAATCTGCGAAGAACTATGATTAAGCCACAGACCTTGAAAGTTTTATGACAAACCAATTTGTCAGGAGCTTGAGCCATAGGGGTTCAGTAAGTTATTGAGCTTGCAAAAGTTTCTCATCTAAACTATCAAGTTATTCCAACCTCAGTTGGGTATTGTGTTCACTTGTAATTTCATTATTAATTGTGATTCTAAGAGATGGATATTGTACCTTCAATGGGAGAATAGCCTTTACTCTATAGACTAAAACAAATAATATAGACTGAGTCGAGATCCTGTATGTGGTCCGATAGACCCATAAGGTTTCAACTAACTTTTCATGCCACTGACGTTTAGTCTCATCTAAGATTTAATAACTAAATTAATGTCTTATTGAATGCTGCATCCAATCCATTAGTTCGAGGATAATATATAGTATTATAACTCCAATCAATGTTATGATTGTTAACAAATTGATTTATTTTGGTATTTTGGAAAGTATAATTATTATCGGATATGCTTTGATGTAGAACATCAAATATCTATATAATATGTCCTTGAGAAATTGCAGTATATAGCTATCTTTGACTTCTCTCAGTGGTATAGCTTCAACACACTTTGTGAAATAATCAATCGCAGCAAGAATAAACCTACAAACCTTGGAAGAAGAATGATCAATAGGCCTAACAATATCGATGCCCCAGTTTTCAAAAGGCTACGAAGCTATTGTTGGATGCAAAGCATTTGGTGGTTGATTCAATACTGCCTCATTCACTTGGCATTAATGAAAACATCGTACTATTTCAACACAATCTTTAATCATGAAAGGCTAATAGTATCCAAACATTTGAATCTTTAATTTCATTTTAGGGCCTGATTAATGGGGACCATACAATCCTATATGAATCTTAGTCATTATCTTGTGGGCTTTAACATGTTTAAGGCGTTGCAACCACATTTAGTCAAATGACTAGCAATGCAGGATATTGTTAATTAATGCAAATAAATTATCGTTTTCTTAATTTTATGAGCTACAAACAACTCCTGAGGAGTTTACCATTTTGAAGGTATTTGATTAAAGGTTGTCTCTAATTATCTTCATTATTTATCGTAAATGAAAACTCACCACAGGAAGAAGCTTGATTTAAATTTTAAAAGTTAATAGTAGACAAAATTTGACGATTCTGTACTTCTATTTCGATTGAGTCTTTTTCAAGACATGTCATTTCCTTAGCTTTGTAAGAACGTTTGCCGTAGTATTTAGTTGCTATATTATAGAACAAATTCAATTGAACATATTGAGCTTAGATGACATGTTGATGAATTCTTAAAAAAGGATTTATTAGGGAGAGTATGAGTGATTTTGTTATTCCTACTTTACTTACCCTCAAGAAAGATGATTGTCATGAATGTCTGTTGATGTTGGATAATAAAATTACTATTGAATTGATTTGAGAAGACATGCACTATGCAAGCCATTATGACTGATGCTATAACCATTTTTAAAATTGATTTGAGAACTTATTGTCATCATGTGAGAGTGAGAGAAGGTAACGAATGGATTTTTTTTTTAATTAAATGTCGATTGTATTTGCTTGGTGATACATTTTGGATTGAGTAATATATTTAGTCTTCTATAAGGATTATGAATCATGTTCTACGACCTTTTTTTATTATTATTATATAATTTGATGATATTTTGATCTTTAGTAAAATAAGATATCTATATTTGAAAAATGTTTTTGAAGTTCTATAAACTAAAATGTTATATTTGAATTTAAAAAAAAAAAATGTTTGTCACTTCTTCTATGCTCTGTTTTAGATTTGTTGTGTCTAGCCATGAATAATCTATTGATCATGATAAAGTTAAGGCAATTAGTAACTACACACAATCGTCACTTCCTACTAATATTCATGAAATTTATGGTTATTTTCTATAAATGCTTTGTCAAGGGAATTAGCACTATCATGACACAAGTTACAAATTAATTTAGGGAGAGTTGAATTTGACAAAATTTATTAATTGTGCTTTTACTAAAATTAAGAGCAGGTTTAGAAGTGCACTTGTGCCTAAATTGTTTGATTTTAATAAAATCTTTGAGACTGTTTATGATGCATTTAAGGTATTGTGAAATCTTAAGTTAATACGGGCAATCAATTGCTTATTTTAGGAGAAAATTTGAAAATGACTAAGCAAGAAAAAAAAGATAGAAAAATTCAATTATTTTGTTATCAGAAGTATTACTTGTTGCCTAAAGAATTTGTCCTTTATTTTGATCACCAAATTTCAAAATATTTAAATTTATAGAAGAAATTAAGATAGACATGCAAAGTTGGTTTAGTTTCTACAAGAGTACACTTTTTTCCTTAAACAGTGTTATGCTGGAGTTCAAAACAAATTAGTTGTTTCTTTAAGAAGGTCACTATTATTTTATAGAAAATGCAAGTTAAGGTGACCAATTTTGATTTTATTAAGGATGAATACATCACTTGTAAAGTTTTTTGTGAGATATATTAGGACTTGAATAATAACTAATCTATGTTTAATAAAGATTTCATTATTCAAGATGATTAAGAGAATACTACTTTACATTCCTGATTCATCTTTGAAAGATTTTTTATCTTAAAATTACACGTCAGTGCAAGGTATTTTATCACCATGATTAAGGGTAAGTATTACTAGCATAGTTTGGAAATAGATGTAGTGTAAATACTTTGGCAATGCAAAACTTATCGAACTAAGGGGAAAAGAAATAATTTTGGCCTTTGTATGCCTTCGATTATTCCTTGCAAATCTTCAGAGAATGTTACTATATATTTAATATTAGGTCTACCACAAACTTGAAGGGAACAATTTCCTTTGTAGTGGTAGACCGTTTTTCTATTATATAAATTAGTTAATTTTGAAAATTTTTTGGGACAAGAGGGTCAATTAAAAATTTCAACTATTTAACACAAACTAATTGATAGACTAAGGCTTCGTTTGGGACGGCTTTTTTATTGCTTTCTAGAACAAATTTTTTTATTTTTTTATTAAAACTCCATTTTAGAAAGCAGTAAAAAAGCTGTCCCAAACGAAGCCTAAGGCTCTTAGTTAGAGTTTGAGTGATTGATGATGATGTTTTGATTAAAGAGCATACATCTTATTGGGATTTAATACTCCCTATAATTGAGTGTGCATACAATTCATTTTTTTAATGACTTGAATGGTTACATGGTTTTAACCTAGAAAGCTTATAGATCTTGTGGAATTTCTTATTAAGTTCAAGCTAGCGCAATCATTTGCACAATATGTGCATTATTTGCGTGAAGATATTCATAAAAAATTGACTATTAAATATGGCAATTATAAGTCTACTGTTGGTATAAACAGGAAAGGTAAGTTTATCCTCTAATAAATAAAAATTACTTACCTCAAATCGAGCGGCAAAAAAATTTAGTATTAGAAATTCAACCAAATCAGATCAGATGGAAATCAACTCAAAAGTTATATACAAAAGGAGCCTAAATTAATATTTAAAATTATAATAGGTAATCAAGTATATGATGGCAGAAGACCTACTCTACCTGAAACTTAATTACATTAAGCCTTAACTAAATACATTGAAAGTCATTAGTCAAATTGAATTAACCTAGGTTACCTTATGATTAACATAGCCTAAGAATTATCATAGAAAAATAAAACCTAACAATACAAACATTAAACATAAAATTCTCTCTAACCTTTTGATAAAAATATATGATAATTGTGTATCTAAATAAAGCAAAACCTAAACTAAATAGTATATAAAAATAAATTAAATAATCTAAAATAAACATTATAAGTTAAATTCTTCTTACCAACTCAAGTTGAGAAGAGAAAGAGGGAGTATTGTTGTTTCCAGCTAGCAAGGAAGGAACGAGAGGCAGATTGTTCCGAGAAGCGTTGCTTGGTTGACAGAGGAAGGAGAGGTTTACGGCTAGGTTCTTGGGAGAAAGGAAGAGGGCTCAAATGAGGAAGATGAAAGTGAGGGCTGCTGTTGGGGGCTTGGAGAAGGAATGAGTGGAATCATTTGTGATGCCCTAGCGTTGATCTTCTTAAATCACATGTTGAGGCAATGGTAGACATATGGTTTTCACGTTGATTGGAGTAGAGGCAGATTCTAGTGACTTGAGAGAAGGGAGGGGCTAAATGGCACGAGTTTGTTTTAGTGCTATTCTATTTGGCTTATTATATTAAGACTCACAAATTCTTATTTATTGTGGAGGAATAATTAATATCTTAAATTTGAAACTATAAACGACCAAGAATGTGGATGATTTAATGAAGGAATGATATAAAAAGTCTTATTTGATGGAATTTGAAGGAATACTGGGAGGTTTTATAAGACTGCTTGGAGTAGCGTTTCAGCTGCCTCCATTGTGATTTGGATACCTTGAAGATATACAATTGATTCTACAAGTTTCAATGTTTAGCTGGCGAATTTTTTTATAGCTAGATAGAAAATATAAACTCTCAAAATATTAGCCCAGAAATTTGAAGCATTTTGGTAGATTTTCACTTTGAAGTGAAATGATTCTAATTGCATGAATATGGAGAAATATCTGATCAGTAATTTACTTGTTCTAAATTTTTATTCTTCTGTCACAAAACCCTTTAATGGAGATTAAAGATTTTTATCATTTACTAATAATGTAGCTTGCATTGAAATATCTAATGCTTAAAATTTACCTATTCAAATCTCTTGCTTCAATCCATAAAGTTTGCTCTTATTTTCCGTATTTATAATGTGAGAATAGGTTATTGTGACATTGCATTTACTTGTTGAATATCTTAATTAAGATCCTTCAACTAAATTGGTAAAAAGGTAATATTAGTTTCCTCATTTTTTTCCTTTATGTGAACTCCTTTTACTTGTATTGATACCCTTCATACACATAAAATGTTCTGTTCAGCCTTCTTGTTTCCAATGTGTTGCCAGTGGAAAATCTCCTGATCACATTTGATGCAGGTAGAGGGTATTCAAGTCCATGCAGATGAGGGTGGTGTGACACAGACACGTGGTGGAGTGTATTGCGTGATTTTGCCGGCTGGATGTAATGCATCTTTTGTCTGCATAATATTATTTCTGTTTTCAGTCCTGTTTCAGAAAGAATGGCTGAATATAATAAAACAAAATTTGAGTACCTTTTTACATTATCAATTTTGATCTCCTGCGATCTATTGGAGTAAAGGTTTTTTACTTTTTTCTGTTTTCTTTTTTTCCTTTTTTTACTTTTTTCTGTTTTCTTTTTTTCCTTTTTTCACTGTCTCTAGATCTTGGTTCATCATTGTGGGGATTAGTTTTTATACTGGCATCAACCAAACTTCTCACTGCAAGGATAGCTGCTGGTTGTCTCATTCTTGCATTGTTTGTTGTTCTCTTCGTTGCAAAAAATGTAAGTTAATGGGTCTAGTTAATTTCAACTTCTCATATTCTTTATTTGAAGTGAACTGCAGTAGGTTCCTTAGGATTCGTTTGGGTAGGCTTTTTTTCTGCTTCTTAAAGTAATTTTTTAGTAGAAAAAAAATAATTTTTATGCTAGAAAGCTGTTTTAAAAAGCATTAAGAAAGCCACCTCAAACGAAGCCTTAGTTAACAAAAAGTATTACTGTATTTTCACCTGCTAATTGGTTATTTATATTAATGCAGTGGTTACTTAGAGGACTTTGTATTGGTAAACTCCATCAACCTGTTTCCATAGATGTTTGCGGACCTGCTTCGTCTAACACTCTGCAATTATGAATTTCTTCAAACAATTCTGGCAGGTTTCATCATTTTTCTGGCCATTGTATGGGTATTGCAAGAACTTACTCATGTCCGCATCCTTCGCTATGCCATTTTATTTATAGGTGAATCTTAACCATTCCCATTCTCTCTCAACCATAGCAGTCCTTGTGAAATTCATAGTGTAATTTTATCTTGCATGATTATAACTCATTTTTCCTTGCTGCAAATTCAGGTGTAATGAACAGCTTGTTTTCAGTCTACGGTATGACCACACAATGATTGTTGAGAAAATCAAAATATTTCTAGTGAAATTCAACAACTTATCATAGTAGTTCATGGAGACTGCTATGCTTGACTCTATATTATCCTTTTATACTGTAGATATCTACGACGATTTGATTTCTCGGAGGGTCAACTCAAGCGACGCCGAGAAGTTTGCTCAAATTTGCCCTTGCCCATGCAATGGAGTTGCATGGGGTGTCATCTGGTGAGATTTTATATTCAACAAAGTTGTAACTCACGCTTAATGGATCTCCCACCTTCATCTTGATCAACTGGTCTTATGAAGCTTAAATCATATGCAGGGGTATAATATCTTTCACATTTCTATGTGGATCCATGTATATTGGACTTGTGATCCTCTCCTGAAGGTATTTCAACAACCCATCAGCTCAACCAATCTGCTATTCTTGGCTATGGTTCTTTTTCAATAAATATAACAAGAGGTGTTGGAATGCATTAATTATTCTGTGTAAACATCGAACGCCGTTCGAAAACTAACCAGAATATGTCACGTCTCCCATTCGCTCGGTACCGCTCAGTATCGCGGCTCGGTACTACTGACATGGCGCATTTTGGTTGGTCTCCGAACGACGTTTTGCGTCCGGTCTCCGCATAGAATAATTTTTCGTTGGAATGGAGACAATTTGAGAACACAGACCATGTAATGTTACTGCATTAATTCATGAAATTATTATTGTTTCCAGGTAAAAGATATTGATGCAGTTCCTAATGATCAACCACCCATCATGTTTCACAATGCTTGTACATCATCATTCTTTAGAGGTTTTTTTTTTTTTTTTCTTGTCTCAGTTAACATTCATTCCTTCATAATTGTTTTCATTTAGTGTTCAATTGTTCATTGCCATGAAACACCCTAATGATCAACCACCCATCATGTTTCACAATGCTTGTACATCATCATTCTTTAGAGGTTTTTTTTTTTTTTTTCTTGTCTCAGTTAACATTCATTCCTTCATAATTGTTTTCATTTAGTGTTCAACTGTTCATTACCATGAAACACTGATACTGTAGACCTTGTACCTGCCATTTTAAAGGCATAATCAAATGTAATGACTTGTATGAATATGAAGGCATAGAAAATTATATGTCCAAAATAAGATGTGTGGTGTAGATAGTGGTCTAGTTTTATGGTTTTTTTGGGATCATTTTTATTTTTATTTTTTATTTTATTTTTAATGAAATTTTAATTTTATACACAACTCCCCTTGGCCTATTGGTTGAGAGCTTAGGCTTCCAACTAAGAGGTCAAAGGTTCGAGTCCATGTGTATGCGTTGTGTGTGTGAGTTTGCCTTAAATGGCCTAAATGTCCAAAAAAAAAAAAATTTAATTTTATTTATATTTTAGTGAAATAAAAATATATTTGATATTTTTTAATTTTTATTGAATATTATATGAGATAGTGATGGTGAGTATTGAAAGTTAGTGGTGGTGGCGGTGGTGATTAGTAACGGATGGCAGCAGATGATGATTAGGGTGATTTTTATTTATTTTTTAAATCTAGTAGTTTGATTTATTGCAAAAATAAAAGTAATTAAAAACACAAATAATTTTTTTAAATACCAAAATAATAACATCAAGCTTTTATTCCACTATGTAGTGTTGGCTAAATGAATTCTTTTATCTATTGTAACATGTTAAGAGTAAAAATCTCTTTTAAATTTAATAAAAAAAGTTCATTCCTAATATTTTCTAACCCTGTATTTTTAGGTATACCTCCATCTTTCTTAAATATAGGTCAAATCTAATATATCTACTCCCCTAATCGGGTTATCGGAAGGTTGACTTTTATGTGACCGAACCACTGAAGGTGACTCTCTAATCTTACCTGTCATTGGGGTTACTCCAACTTTTCATGTATATACTCGTGTCATATTACATCTCTAAGAGTGAAGCCACTCATCCATCTGAGCATCCTCATCTAAGCAATACTTAACTTAATTTTATGCTTCTCTTTTAATGACCAATATTCTGCGTTATAAAGCATTATAGGTCTCACAACCATCTTATAGAATTTTTACGTAAGTTTGAGGATACTTTTCTATCACACAACATGCCCGATGTATTTCTCCATTTCAACCATCCAACTTAAATTCTTCAAATAATATCTCAATCTCAATTTAAGACAAATAAATATGTCTCAAGGATAGACGAGTCTGAGAAGAATCCTTATTGAACTAAGAAGAATACCTGTGAGGATCTTTGTTGGGATGTTGAGAAGGATTTTGGGTTGAGAGTTATAGATGGCTTGGTTGGTAGGTGGAGTAAAGGGGGAGGCTAGATGAGCTAGCCAGGTGCTAGTCATACCATTTATAAGATAAATAAGCTAGAATATTAATTTGCTCTAACATATTTGGGCTTATCTATGTAATAACTACATGTTATAATTTGGTTTCTTATTAAAAAAACTAATATGTATTGAGGACCCTCTTCAATATAATACTATGTACCGAGTGACGTGACATATTCTAGTTGGTCTCTGGACCGTCTGGTGTCCGCACAAAATAATTTCTCCATGAGTTGTGTACCTATTCCCGAAATATATTGATCATCATTAAAGTATCTCACCCTCGGCCTCCTCTCTAATAATAGGGTGTCTATTCTTTAGTGAAAAACTGTTGCAACCTCAACCAACAAAATCATTGGCTTATCCATCTTGCTAGAAATGAATGTCTTAACATCATCGTGGTCTACCTAGTACGGATGCATGCATGATCACCAAATAGATTTTAGAGTTTATTCCATTAATATTGTTGTATCCGCCCGTCATTACTATGATTATTGTACCTATATAAAATTCACAGTAAATTATAACCTCAGAGGCAATGTTCGTAACCACATTCTCATCATATAGAGTCAATAATGATAGAAGATATGTTATCTTTTACTTAAACATGTGTAAAATATAAGTACGACTAAAATAAAATTTCTATTGGTAAAAATATAATGTTTAGTATTTTGAGATTTACATGAATAAGTAAATGTTCAAAATTACTTGATATAAATCTTAGATTAATGATCAAAATTTTATAAGATCTAATTTAAATATTTGAATGACTTTCTAACACCAATATAATATACAATATTACCACAATATAAATTACATTCTCTCTTATGGTCCAACACTTTTTATGATTGCAATACTATTTTTTTAATATAGGAAATTCCATTATTCATCAACAGAATAATTCCCCACAAAACATTTTGTCCTAAGTTTCCTTTCCCTCTTATATATATAATATTTCCAGCTTTCCAAAAGTTTTTTTTTTTGGAAAATTTTGGGGCAAAAGCCCATGAATCAAATGAAAAATTGGTAACAAGTAACTATAAAAGAAAGAACATTAACAAGGAAAATAAAAACCCACAAACTGCATAACAAAAAGATCGGGGAGAGGTCAAAAGCAGGACTCAGGAAACCAGGCTAATCAAAAGAAATACATAAATCAGCTTATAGCAGCATCATTACAGCAGCCCCTTGGTTGCCAAAAGCCTGCCAAGGAGAAGACCGGTAAGCACATGGCCATCACACTGGGGAGCAAAGGCCAGATATCAGGCAATAGGCAACCCACAAAATTAGCCTAAAACATCATTGTCCAGAAAATCGAACGCCAAAAAACCCAAAAACTTGAAGCAGCAACGTCAACAACCCGGACAACAAGGTTGGAATTACATGATATCCACAAAAACTTCCTTAAGCTTATCATAACCTTTCCAATTTTTAACTTTGAATCTAGCAGCAGCTTTGATGTTATGAATAATAGTGATAGGATCAGACCAACAGTTAGAGAAACGCCGGTTGTTTCTCTCCCTCCATAGATAGTATACAGTGTAGCCAATAAGAAAGAAACACAAGTTTTTCTCCAAAGATCCATAATGACTATCAAAATCCAGAAAATCATAAACTTGTAAAATATTAGGCCAAAGATAGTAGTTATTAAAAATCGGCAGCAAACCATTTAGCTCCATAAAAGAGAAATTACAATAAAAAAAAGATGCCGGTGGTTCTCAAGTGAGCTTTGACAGAATGAGCAAGCATGAGGGACATGAATGCCTTTTCTTGATAAGTAAATCCACACATTTTAAATTTTCAAGGATAGCCATCCAGGCGTAATAGGAAAAACAGAGGGAACATTTTTTGTGCCACATGTATTTATACCAATGAACTTTATCTAAATGCCGGTTATAAAATTCCGTAAACTGCTTGAAGGATGGATTATGGGAGCCATCCAAAGCCAAAGCTGGTTGCTCCAGGATATTGACTTGAAGAACAACCTCACGTAAGCTTTGAGTAAAGTCAGCCGGAATGACTCACTGGCCATTATAAATAAAATCATCTACCAGCTTATGAGGAAAAGAATTAGAAGAGGTAATTTCAGATAAAGAACGACCATTGCACCAAGGATCCCAAAACATAGAAAAATTGTATGAGGGAGCAACCAAAAACTGAATAGAGGATATGATATTAAGAGCAGTGTTGCATAGCAATTTCCAAGCTTTGGAGGCATGAGACAGAGGTGGCTTCCAAGGGAACTCATACTTAGCTCTAAATCAAGAGCTAAAAAGAGAATTCTGACCAAAAAATCTCCAAATACAAGAGCAGTAAACACCAAAGTAAAGGGAGTCAAAAGATGGCAAGCTCAGACCACCATTACACTTAGGCTTAATAGTGGTGTTCCAAGAAATAAGATGTAGCTTCTTGTCAGAAATATTCCCATGATAAAGAAATTTAGAGCACAGCTTAGAAATAGCATTGCGACAAGCATTGGGAATAATAGAACCTCTGACTAAGTATGCAATGGTGTTAGCAATGGTAAACTTTAAATATTGGACACGACCTACAAAATAAAATAACTTAACTTTCCAACCCTTAAGTAGAGCAGAAACCCTGCTCAGTAAGGGTTGGAAGTGAGTAAAATTAAGTCTGTGGGGGGAGATAGGAAGGGCCAAATAAGTAAAGTAATTTTTCCTTTGATGAATATTAAGCAAGGTAGAGATGTCAAATGTAACATCAACATTGGGAACAAAAATGATGGAGCTTTTAGAGGGGTTAATGTGAAGCCCAGAACAATCAGCAAAATTATTAAGAGCAATCTTAAGATTGCTAGCATTAGAAACCGAAGCTTGCCCAAAAACCATAAGATCATATGCATACATGAGATGATTAATGTAACCCCTTTACAACATATGCCCTTAAAATTCGAGTGGTGGAGGCAGCAGGAGAGGCTGTCCATAGCAATACATAACAAAAGTGGTGAGAGGGGACATCCTTATCGAAAACCAGAGGTGGATTTAAAAAAACCTTCAAGAGAACCATTAAGGCATATAGAGAAAAAAACATCAGAAATGCAGCCCTTGATCCAACTAATAAATAGTTCAGAAAAGCCTTTTAAGCGAAGCCTTTCTAAAAGGAAATCTCTGGAAAGAGAATCAAAAGCTTTTCTGATATCCAATTTAGCACAAAACAAATTCCTACCTGCTTTGAAATCTCTTAGGATGTCAGCAGCTAAAAGAATGTTATCAGTTGAGCATCTAGAGGAGATGAAACCCGCTTCACTTTGATAAATGATATGAGGCAACACCGGTTTGAGCCTATTAGCCAACACCTTTGCAATGATCTTATAAAGAACATTACAAAGGAAAATGAGTCTATAATCTGTAATAGATGAAACATGCGAACTTTTGGGAATCAAAGTGATGGCCGTGGCCTTAGCCCCTTTGGGAAGATAACCGGTAGAGAAGAAACTTTTGACAGTATTAAAGACTTGAGGACCAATGAAGTGCCAAGTCTTTTTATAAAAAACAAAGGAGAAGCCATCAGGACCTGGGGTAGCAGAAGCCTTGCCAGCAAAAATGA